CCTTCCTGATGCCGTCTATCAATCCCCATGAAAAGGGCTTGCCTTGTATCCTTTTAAACACAGAACAGAATACCGCTGGGAAGGTGGCAAATAATATTAACAGCAACATTTGTTAGGATCTAGTGCCCATCTCAAGCTGTTTTTAGTACATTCGTTGCATTAACTCAGTGGGTCCTCAAGAGAAACCCTTTGAGCTGGGTATTATTAATGTCCCCATTTTAAAGATGACAAAACTGAGAAACAAAGAGGAAGATGCCCAAGAACGCACAGCTTAAAAATGATAGAACCAGGGTTTGGACCCAGTGGTTTTGTTCTGGAATCTCTGCTCTCAACCATTATCCTTACTATTTCTCTGGCCACTTAGCATGGGAAGATGCATAGCTTTCTCTTTTGATTTGTAGGTGAATTTAAGTTTTTAGTTTAGGTATCTATTTCACACTCAAACAGCCTGGGTGCTCCCAAGAAGTTTGGTGGCCAGAGGTCAGGTGAATGCTGTGCGTTGTTTATTGCCCACAGGCTGGAGCTGCATGAGGATGAGACCATGCCTGTCTTGCCTAGCACATCCTCAGCCCCAGAGAGCGGGTGTGTAGTGAGAGGTATCGTCAAATGAGGACATGTGTTTCTTACTGTTTTATGGCTATTGAATACTCTTCTTGGTCTCTGATACACGTACCTGAGGAAAACATAAAAGAAAAAGCTCTGGCTGCAAACAATCTGCTTTCTCCTTAAATGAGCAAGTAGACGGTGAACATAAAAGTGGAATTTTTGGTTTCAGTGATTCAGAGGGTTGCTGTAATTTTCAATTTTACTTTTCATATGGAAATATGACTCAGCCTAAGCTGTGTGTATTAGTGAGGGCGGTGCTTGATGCTGTAACAAAAACACCTTCTAATTTCTGGGGCTTAACACAGTACAAGTTTATTTCTCACTCTGGCACCAGTCCAGTGTCCTAATCAGAGGGGACTTTGTTCCTCAGGGTGATGCAGGGACCCAGGCTGCTTCTGTCTAGTGAGTCTAACCATCCTTTGGGACCTTGGAACCCTCTGCTTCCAGGCAGGCAAAATGGGGAAGGCAGACCAATTTTTAAACGTCCTAGCCTGGGTCCATCACTTTTGCTCATGTTCCGTTAGAGAGAGCTAGACACGTGGCCATGCTTGGATGCAAGGGAGGCTGGGAAGTATAGCACCGGCTGAGCAGCTGCCCCTCTCAAAGGAGCAGCATGAATTTCTGGTGGACAGCCTGCAATCTTTTGCCACAGTGAAAGACAAGCTCTTCCTAGGTTGCTCTGTAAGGCAACATGTCTACATACTTAAGGTAGAAGTGTCACAATCTTTGGTAACTTTCGGAAGCCGCATATAGAAAAATGGAAGACTAGTGTCAGCCAAAGCACATAGGCAATCACTGACGTGAGCTGGGATGTCAGGCAGCTTGGGACGGAGGTGTGATCAGAACCTTTGAGTCAGAGACTTGGCTTTGAGCTCTGATTCAGGGAGTTACTAGCTGCCCGGTGATCACCAGCAACTTAACTTGAGGCTCTGTTCTCAACAGCCAAACAGGGTCATAACACCCCAATGGCAGTTTCAGGATGATTAGAAGTAATACACGTAAAGGTCCTGGAAGACAGTAGATAGTAGATGAGTGATAACTGGCATTACTATTACTGGTTTTCTGAGCAAAGATTTCTCAAGAAAGCAAACATAGCTTTTTTCTTTTATTTTTTAATTTAAAAAGAGTTTATTTATTTTTAGAGAGAAGGGGAGAGAGGGAAGAAAGAGTGGGAGAGAAACATCAGCGTGTGAGAGAAACATCAACTGGTTGCCTCTTGTACGCCCCCGACAGGGGACCTGGCCAGCAACCCAGGCATGTGCCCTGACCAGGATTCCAGCCGGTGACCTTTTGGTTGGCAGGCCAATGCTCAACTCACTGAGCCTCACCGGCCAGGGCATCCTCTTTCTTTTAAATTGCTTTGGAAATAGAAAGTGTAATAAGCCTTATGTAGTATATGTTGTGGGACCATGCAGATGTCATGCTTATAACTGCAGGTGTTATAACTCTCCTATATCCAGAATGAAGCCAGAAACCAGCCTAAACAAGCAGTGTGATTAAACTGCTCATAATTGCCCGAATTCTACTAGGAACCCTGGAGGGTGAAAAATAAATATAACAGCCATGATTTCTTGAGTGTGTATATTATATTCCTTAAAGCTCACACCAACCCTATGAGACATGTTATTGTTACCACCACTAATACCATCTGTGTTATCACCATCACCAATTTGCAGATGAGAGAACCAGGGTGTAGAAGGGGAAAAGAATTGCCTAGGACCGTCAATTACTAGTGGTAGAACAGGGATTTGAACCCAAGCAGTCTGACTCCAGAATGCAAGCTCTATCTAAATCCAGGAGTCTGGGATTGGAGGAAAAGCTTTATCTATGGAAAACGCTTGAATACAATGCCTGATACCATTGTGCCGGTGTGTGCGGAGGAACTCCCAGTGCTTGGGCAGGGGCAGGACTGTGTGCCAGGCATTGTACTGGGCGTTTCCATCCTTCCCTTATAAGGAGAGGCAGCACGGTGCCTGTGGAAGGAGCAGAGCTGGCGGTTTGGGACTGGACAGGTAGGGTTTAAAGCCAGGTGCTGCTATTTACAACCTGCGTAATCTCAGGCAAGTTACTTAACCTCTCTGGTACGGTTTTCTCCATTCAAAACGGGGATCACAACCACTCTAAGGGGTTTACTGTCATAAAATGGTACTGAACTGTGGTTGGTACTATTCACTCAACAAATGCTGATGAAGCCCCATGCCCTCCTGAGCAACATTATCAGCCAGAATAAGCTAGGCTACGTTGCCATAGCAAACAACCCCCCAAATCTCACTCACACTACTTTCCCAATGCAGGTTGGCTGGGACTGCTCCGCCACCTTTACAGAGACCTGCACCGGCGGAGGCTCCATCTCCGTATTTCCATGGTTGTCAAGGCAGGATGGCCAAGACGGTACTTTCAGAATTGTCAAGACATGGCAATTTGCCCAAAGGATCTTAAAAGTTTCTACTTGAAAGCAATACTCTTACTCCATCACCCCAAACAAGGCATATGGCCACATCTCATTTCAAGAGGTTGGGATTGTAGATTCCTACCACATCCTAGGGAAGGGAAAGAACCAGAAATTATGTGGTGAACAGGTTTAATGACCACAACAGACATAACCTATTTACCTGTACAACAGATTAGTAATCCATAATTTAAGAAGAGGAAACTGAAGCTCTGGAAGGTTCCGTGATTTGACGAAGGTCACACAACCTATTCACTGGAGAACCAGGCTCAACCCTTATGTTACTCACTCTGAGTCTTTATTCTACATGCACAAGGCCTATGAGGTCTGTCCAGAAAAAGTCCAACCATTGTTATTATAATGAGGACGGTTTATGTGACATTGTTCTAAACTGGCAGCCAAGGACAGTGGACTGGAATGTGCGTGCATGAACAAGGATGAACTGTACTAGTCAGTGAGGGTGGTGGATGCTAATGAGTGGGCATGTGTACTGTGTGGCCATCTCATTCAAAACGACTGAGTGAGTAGAACAATCAATTTGCATCGAATTTTGCATTAAGCTTGAACACTCCTCCCCAGAAACTATTCAGATGATTCAGAAGGCTGAAGCTATGGGCAACTGCTGATTGGTAGCTTTATCACTGCAACACGCACGCCTGCTCATGCATCATTGAGGTATCATTGTCCTACGTGCAATGTTTCCTGTATCTTCTTCAATAAATGTCTCTATTTTCCACATTACATGGCTGGATACTTTTGGACAGACCTTGTGCAGACTTTGCATAGAAGCAGACCGGAGCTGCAGGACGGAGGCAGGCAGGCACTGCAAGCATGGAGGATGGAACAGGAGTGGAATAAACACGGCAACAACTAGTGTGCTCCTGGGGAAGGCGGGAAGGGGCAAAGGGGTTCCGTGGAGCTGCAGTAGAAGAGAAGTGTGGACAGATGAGAGGACCAGGCATTGGACTGTGGCCAGCAGCAGGCATGGAAGATGGGATGACTGCCCTGTTTTAGGCCATTACTCTGGAAGCAAGCAGGGGGCTTATGGAGAGGACGAGCTGTTGCAGTCGTCCAGGGTAAGGTGATAGGGGCAGGCAGGAGTGAAGACAGCAGGAATGCAGAAGGGACGAACCTGAGAGCTGCAGAGGAAGGCCCAGCCACGTTCACTGGAGAAAAAGTCAAGAACCACCCGGAGACCTGCAGAACGCACCAGACATTCCTTGTACCTCACTCTTCCTATTCCTGTCTACTGTGCCGCACCATTTATAATTTTTCCCCCTAAGGCCTCTTTTCCTCTTGCTTTCTTATTTTCCCTTGCCTCTTGAAGCAGGGGTGCGTGTGAGTGCACACGTGCAGCTTTCTGTGGTCAGAGGCCCGCTCTAACCTTCAGCTTTGGAGGGCAAGGTCGCTGTTACCATCTCCATCTCCAGGATCTGGCCCATTTAGTTAAAGGATAAGTCCCAAGGCCCAAGGGCCAAGAGGCCTGCAAGTCGAATTCCTGCTCAGCAGGCCCCAGGCCCGGTTCCATACGAGGATCCAGGTTAGCCCACCTCCGGAGGCAGCCTTGGTGGGCAGGGTGAACGCCCAGCTCGGTCCTGGAACCTCTAGAGCCCCTTTTCTTCCACGTCCCCAGCATTCCTCCTCTCCCAGGCGGCTGCGCGGGCCGGAGTCCTGGATGGTGACGAAGGACCGGCACTGTGGCGGCCTGCCCCAGGTTCAGCCTCAGAGCCTCCCTTGTTCCTTTCTTTGGGGAGGTCGCGGGGACCAGGTCAAGGCCCTCTTCTTGGGGTTCTCCGGGGCGCGCAGCTATCCCCGGTGGGTAGCCCTCCCCCAGGCTAGCGAGGCTGGGGTGCCAGCCCAGGCGGGGCGAAGGGGTGCGCATGCGGCGGGAGTCGGGCCGTGACTCACCGCCTGTAACCCAACACCGGCCTGCCTCCCCTCCCCCAGCCTCTTCCCCAGCTCTGGGTTGGAGGCCGCGGAGACACCTAAAAGAATGAAGGGGCGCCCGAGCCCGTGGCGCCCCCAGCCGGATCGCGAGCGGGCCCCGGCGGCCCCCGGCTCGGCGCACTCTCGGGTGCCGGGCCCCCGGGCTCGGCGAGCAGCCGCCGCCCGGGCGCGAGCAAGAAGGCAGGGCGAGCAGCCGGAGCAGGAGGAGGCAGTGGCAGCGTCGGCGGCAGTGGCGGGCCCGCGGTAGCTGCGGTGGACGAGCCCGGGGCTGGGGCGCCTGGGCGTGGAACCCCCGATCCCCGTCTCAGCCAAGCGAGGATAAAGCCCCCTGGCCGCTCCTGCAGCCTACACCGTGCGGCACAAAGGGCAAGCTGCGACACGCACCCATCCCCCTCTCAGCTCGGGGTGGCCCGCGGCCCGGGGTGGCAGGAGTGAGGTGGGGGAAGCCGCTCCGCCCCTCGCTCCCCCTCCCCCGGGACCCGGCGAGCGCGCCGCCCCGCCCCCGCCCGTCTGCCCGTCCTCCGGGGGAGGGGTCGGGGGGCGCGGCGCCCACATAACACTCCCCCTACTGCGCTCGGAGCCACCCCTCTCCCCTCCCTCCTGCAAACACCACCGCCTCTCCTGCCACCGCCGCCACCTCGCCCGACGCTCCGCAGCTCGCCGCGGCCGGTGGGCGGTGCGCGGACCGTGCGCGCCGGGGGCGCCAGATGTGCAGTCCCCGCCGCCGCCAGTGACCCAGCTGCAGCCCTAGAGGGATCCGGCCGCCTCTCCAATGCTGTGGGAGCGGCCCTGAGCGCACCCCGACTTCCTTCGGCGGGGACCCCGAAACCCAGAGCACTGTGCCGGGTCCTGCCTTTTCCATCACGCTCACCTCGAGTTTGGACATGGAGGGGGCCGCTGCGCCCGCGCCCCGGGATGGTCACGACTTGGTGCCGGGGTCGCCGGGCTCTCCCCTGGAGGCGGTGGCGGGGGCGACCGCAGCCCCCGCAGCGGCGGCCCCGGAGCCCAGAAAGCCGCACGGGGTGAAGCGGCATCACCACAAACACAACTTGAAGCACCGCTATGAGCTGCAGGAGACCCTGGGCAAAGGCACCTACGGCAAAGTCAAGAGGGCCACCGAGAGGTTTTCTGGTCGAGTGGTGAGTTGGGGAGACCCCAGGGGGCGCGGGCTAGACGCAGCTGGGGACCAAGGGCGCCAGGGGCGGGGAGATCTTGGGCACTGAGGCTCTCTCGTCCGAGAGGGGGCTTCCCGGGAACCCCCAGACAGACTTCACTCTCCCCCCAGACTTCAAGCTCCCCGTGACTTAGGCGTGTTTCTCTCCAGAAACACTTGTTACATCCTGTCTGCGCATATTTTGGGGGGTTTTTATCCCAGCAGCAAAGTAGTGTTTATGATTTGCAAACACATTGCAGCGTTGGGACCGTCGGGGTCTTCCTCGCGGGCATGCATTCAGACCGTGCCCTGGAATGCCTTATTGCTCTAACTCTAAGCCAGACTCACGTCCTCAGCTTGGAGCTGGTCCCCCAAGCCCCGTGTCCTGCAGATGAATGCGACCCCTCCACCCTCCCACTTGTACTCTCTATCACTATGATGCTGCTGTCGCTGCAAAGGAGGGTTGGACTCCTGCCTGTTTTTCAGAGAGAAGATTAGGGAGCAAAAGTAAAGGCTGCCACAGGCATGAGGGTTGTGACAGTTTGGCCCGGCTTTTCGTAGGACTGAAATGCCCATGCCATGAGCAGACTCAATTACATTTCAGGTCCTGGCTGCAAGGCTACTCAATTGCTTTAGAGGTCCGGCCCAGCTGCCCCCCTCTGTGACAGCTGAAACCCTGCCAGGGTTCCAGTGCCATTTGCACAGCCCCCAACGAGCGCCCTGAGCGCCTGGGGGTCTCTAGGTTGGCACAACGTGGTTTGTTGTCATTTTCCTTTCTGCAGAACAGGCCCCTGAAATCCACACTGCTTGTGGCTGGAGGACTGGGTTCAAAGGGACTGAGTGCTGCAGAAAGATTTTGTGTGGTGTGTGGCAGAAAATTAACAGGGTTCTTTGATTTGAAACATATCAGATGCATTTCAATCTATTTAGCGCCAAAGTCAGGAACTAATTTTGGGACTCCTTGTGTGCACTTTTGGGGGTGTTTGGTGGCCCAGGGTTGCCTGTAAACTTGACAAACGACCAGAGGGGAAAAAGCAAAATGAATCATTGAATGAATTGGTAGGTTGATGTTGCTGTTTTTCTTTTGCATATGTGCAGGGACTGTTCTATGAAAAAAAATGAGGCACCAATCCGAAAGTTTAGTCTCCCCCCATTCTCAAATCTGGATACCTGCATGACTCCCTCATTGTATGCTTCCTTGTTTGGGTTGATACAACTTTATCCTATAGCTTAAGAAAAAGTCTGTTGTAGGTTAATTGGAAATTGGAGACATCGTATATTAGGTATTTTAAGCCATCTCCAATAAACAAATTGTATAGCAAGCAAGTAGTTGAGAATTCACTCTGGGCAGGTGTCATTTTTGGAGGTTGAAAAATTTGAAGAAGAGGTAATGGTAAAGATGCCTTTGAGGCACCTGGTTTGTGGAAGAAGAGGCTGAGAAACGTGCACTTCATTCATGCTTTTATTCTGAGGTGATATTCCCCAGGCTGGATGTTGAATAAGCAAAAGCTAAGCTTAGCTCCTTGCTCGTGTTGTCTTAATAGCTGTTGAAGAATCGCGCTGGGAAGTTGGAAAGTGCAATAATGAAAACCAGACGCGGTTGGAGCTGCAGGTTGAGGATGCGAGCTTGTGAGGGACTGAGTGATAAGGGTGTGTCAGGGGGGATCTGTGAGGGGACACAGAAGCCTGAATGCTGGGGAGCTGCCGCTAATGGAAAGAATGGAATCTTGTGTTATGGCGCACACCTTTCGGAGCGTCACTGGAGCCTCCTGCCAGGCATTTGTCTGGCTGTCTGACCCACAGAGTAGGTTAGAGTGAGAGGGATTGCATCAGGAGAGGGGAGCCTGCCCTTCTCATACGGTGGGTGTCTCCCTTTATTTTCAGAAACTCTGAACATTCCGTCGGGATTTAGTCGAGTACCCACTAGGGGGCGCCCTGAGAACGGAAGAGGCTCATTTCTCAGCCGCCAAGATTTCAGCCCTACTGTTATTGTCCAGCCCTAGTTCAGTTTCCCATTGTGCTATTTATTTCAGCTCCATCTCTTGTTTTACTCAAAAATTAAGGCAAAGATTTTGAATCTGATGGCAGATCCAGACCCAGAAACTGGCAATCCCCAAACTGCTTTCCTCCTGGATAGATAATCTCACAATGTTAGCAAAATCATCCGGTGAAAGCCTTGCATGAGATAGATGGGAAAGCTGTTGGGTGAGGTTGGGTGAAGGGAAGGCCTCCTTGGCCTTGAGTCTTCCCCCTGCTGAGCACACTGCTCACAGATGGTGTAAGAACTTAAGTGAGAAACAGGAATTGTCAGGTGGAAAATTCCCTGTGCCTGGCTGAACAGAAAATAAAACAAAACATTAAAAAAAAAAACCACTGGTCAGTAAGTTCTTTGCCATCCAGTGCTTGGTGACTCAGAATCTCTCAAGAGCAGCAAGAAATTTTCATTTAAATTTGGAGTTTTCCTCTAGTTCTGAGGATGCACTCAACAGCCACAACTTGCTTTTAAGGTACAAGTGAGGAGAATTGATGAACCCTGTCTCAATTCTGCCTTTTCGATCTTCAGGGAGAATTCTGCAGTGATGTTTTATTTTCACTTGTAGCTGCACCTTTTAGAGCACTTCTCCAGAGGCGCCGTGGCTCTAAGCTGCCTTGCCGACGCTGCGAGTGGCTGAAGTCAGGTGCTGGGTGTCAGGCTGCACGAGGTGCTGGTAAATCAGCACTTGGGTGTCTGAGAAGTGTTTAAAAGCAAGAATGTTGTGGCTTTTAATTGCATGTCTGGAGGGCCTTCTGGATCGAACAAAACACCACACAGCATTGTGATCGTCTGTCTTCTGTGAAAAGCAGTTCTGAAAAGAGTTGCAGAATCGGGAAGTTGGAGTTGGCTGGGCCAGCCTTCCGCGTGGTCCGGGCATCCTCCCCCTTTCAATCTCAAATGTGGGTTTAGTGCCCACTGCCCAAGCAAGTCCACAAGACAGGGACTCCAAGTGGCTTCTTCCAGAGAATGAAAAGACCGACACTGAGGCACCCTTGCAGAAGGGCTAAGGGCCTTGGCTTACCTGCAAATCCTGACCCATTTTTTACTAGCTTTGTGACCTTGGGCAAGCTATGTAGCTGATCAAAACCTCAGCGTCCTCCTCTGTAAAATGGGCAGCTAATGGTACTGAGGTCGTGGACTTGTTGTGAGCATTGAGTAAAATTATCTATAGAAAGCCTCGGAAAGGGGGAAATTAGCCAATTTTAGCTCCCTTTTTTAGCAGATTCTTTTTTTCTCATCTCACTTGAACTTTTCATGCAGTTTTAGAACTACCAGAAAGGCATAGATGCTTTGGACAGTTAGCCTTGTGTCCTTCAGAGAGAGAGGGAGAAGAAATAATCCACTCTTCGGGTTCATCAGGGAGCGCTAGGGAAGCGCTCCCGTAGGAAGCCCGTGCAGCCGGACTTGCGTAGGTTCTGAACATATTTCTGAAGCCTTGAACTTAGACTTTATCACATAGCTCTTGCTTTGCGACATTTTTGGGCAGGGTTGTCGAGTGGACCCCGGTGCTACAACATGGCTTTTTCTTTGAGCCTTCAGGCGGCACAAAATACTGACAAAAATGCCAAAACGAAAGCCAACATTTTGGGGACAGGTGTCATGTGATCCCCTCACTGCCAAGGGCCAAATTCAGCTTTCCCTGCCCACCGGCGTTATCTCCTGTGTGCAGGGTTGTGTAAGTAGGAGGAAAGGTCTGTGAGCAGGGCCTGGAGCGGGAGTGACGGGACTCTTGGGCAGAATGTGCCTCCAGGTCCCAGAGCTCCAGCTTCACTTGGCAAAGCTACTGATTTGACCCAAAATGGGTGTCTGAAGCATTGGTCCCATTGTTCATAGCCTGGTCCTGGAAAACTGCAAATCAGAGGGGTGAATTAGCGGGCTGGCCTGCTGAGCCAAGGTGTGTGTGGCTGTTACCTGCACGGTGGCGGAGGTGCCCTGTGGCAGCTAAGACGCCACCTGAGTATCAGCGTGTGAGACAACCCTGTGGTCCAAGCTTCTCAACCTGCTGGTGGGAAAAGTGAGGCACAGAAGCGTTAAGTGACTTTTCTGAGGTTGCACAGCTCGTAAGTGACTGAGTTGGGTCTAAGAAACCTGATTCTTGATTTGGTATCTTTCCATCATTTATTTAATAAATCTTTCCTAGAGCAAGACGTGATTCTCACTTGTAAAGAGCTTACACTCTAGTAGCAAAGATGAAAGTGTACTTACAAATATTGAACTAATTCTGCTCAGTTCAACAAAGATTTATTACCATCTGCCATATGCTTCTCACCATGTTAAATGCTGGGACACAGACAGAGAACTTCATGTCTGGTGGAAGAGACAGAACTAGCAGTTGCTAGGCCGTGGGTTCCTCCTCTACACGGGACTCAATTATTCCAGGTGATTTTCAAGTTCGAAGGTAGTTCATTTCATTGAGTCTGATCCGGGCCAGGAATGCCCCCGCCCCGTAGTAGTCCTGGTGCTCTTATTGCTGCCAGCTGATACTTTGGAGAGTCGGGGTGTGTCTACTCCACAGACACCTTCTCTGATCCTCAGTGGTGCTAAGAGGTGTGCACTCCCTCTAGTCAGACCCGCTTTACGGACTGGGGAAGCGACGCTTTGGGGAGGTTAAGTGACTTGCCCAGGATCACACAGCCAGACTGTGTTGAACAACTTTGCCCGTTTTGAAATCTGTTGCCGCTAGAGAAATGGAGAATCTTCCTTGCATGGTCCAGCTGGTCGCCTCTGGGTCTGGGCGTGGTGCTTCACCCAATGTCACGGCAGAGTCAGGGATGACAAGTGCTGTTGAGACGGCCTTCGACTGGCGTTTCAGAAGGCGGAAAGGTGGGGCCTTCTGCCAGGGAGCCGATTCTGGGGTGAGCTGGCTGGACCGCCTGTAGTGCTGGGTTTGTGCCGGGACCCAGTGGGGGGGACAAGATGGGTAAAATAGGGTGGGGTGATAATACTACATA